AACATTTTTAAAAATATGAATAGAAAATATATGGTACTTAGAAATGCTTTAGGAAGCAGGGCACAAAAGTAGGCAGTTTCTCAGGTTTAAAATACTAGATTACCATCACATTTTTCACATAACACTTCGGGGGAAAACAGAATTAGCACATTTGTAAGGATGAAAATATGATTCATAGACTTCTGGTCCAAGTGATCTTTAAGTATAGAGGACACAAACAGAATTTAAAAACGTCACAAATATTGTTCCCATTCTATCAGAGCTGGAGAGGTAACAAAGCCACTTCCTAACATATTTATGAAGTCCTGGGGGCCGTCCCTGGCATATCCATGTATAGGCACACACATACATCAGTGTAAACACAACACACACACACTATATAGACATACATCAAAGAATGAGCCTCAGTTAACTAAAATGACTCAGGCTGGCCAGACAGCTCAGCAAACTAAAGCATCTGCTTAGGCAGGCACTGGGACTCCTGTGTCCTGCTCTGCTGGTGCTGGTATCCCCCGCCTGTAATTCCAGCACTTGAGATTTAACTTTTATATAAAGCTATTGAAAAACTAAGACAAAAATGACAAAAAAAGAATGCTACAGTAACATGTTTATACCATGTAAATGCAATAATTTTTTGTATGAATTGAGCGAATTTATATTTAAAAATGCTGGGGCCTGAGAGATGGCTCAATAGAATAAGCACTTCCCTGGCAAGCACAAGGGTCTGAGTTCAAAACCCAGTTCTGCCAAAAAAAAAAAAGTTTAACACTTATCAATTGCCTTATTACTAATACATAGTACAGCTTTCCGTTGTGTAACATTAGATATAATAAAAGTTTATCTTAAGCCTATCATTTCTTGTGTCCCTCAAGGACCTGAGTTCAATCCCCGGTTCCGCAAAAAAAAAAAAAGAAAAAGAAAATTAAATGGGCTTTAACTTCAGGGGGCCAGGGAGATGGCTCAGTGGAATAAGCGCTTCCCTGGCAAGCGCAAGGGCCTGAGTTCAATCCCCGGTTCCGCAAAAAAAAAAAAAAAAGAAAATTAAATGGGCATTTCTTGTGTCCCTTTGAGAACCAACATTTTTCACATGGAATAAGCTTTAACAACTCATTAAATTACAAACCTCAATAAAGCACTTAATACAGTCTGACCAATGACAAGCTAGAAACAACCAACTGAGCAATGATATGCATGTTTAGTACCCAGGTGAATCAAAAACCACTTTCCAGTAAAGGGCATGGATTCTTAAAATATGACTGGAAAAAGTGAAGTTGTAACATTCTTATACCAGAGAACAAAGGTACTACCTAAAACTACTAGTCATGTCAAAAGGACAATTTGGCTATCAAAAATATGGGCAACTTAAACCCATCAAATACTTTTAATTCTATCAAATGTTTTAATTCATATCTGAAACCAACAATTTGCTCATTCAACACATACAATATATTCAGCATTGTTGTGAACTACAGGACCTTCAGAAAAATAAGCATTGCTCAAGAAAATGTTCCTAAAAGCTGTTTAATTTTATGTTAAATACTAGAATAGAGGGCTGAGGATTTAGCTCCGTGGTTAAATGCTTGCCTAGCATGTTCAAGGTCCTGGGTCAGATCTCCAGTACAGCCAGTGAAAATCTTTTCAACAAACAAAAAAAAAAAAATTTTTTTAATGTATTTAGAACAGAGTCTACAGGGTCTCACTACATAGATCGGACTCATAGTGATTCTCCTGTTTCAGCCTCCTAAGTGCAGGGATTACAGGCAATTGCCACCAAAGCCAGTCTCAATCACCATCTCAGGGGGCCCAGGGGAGGGGCCTGCATGGCACACCAGGATCTAACCCAGGCTGCAGCACTCTGCCTAAGCTTGCCCTTTAGTGTGCTATCAGGCTGGCCCTAACAAAATATTTAACTGATCAAAAACAACCAATTTGGGCACTGTTTTAATTACATAAATATGCAATAGCCCCCACAACAATTTAGGGTCCCATGTCCTGGCATCTTTCCTAGCTTTCTACATTAAATTTTTACAGGTAATTTTAATAGGCTAGGAAGCTAAATTATTCAAATTTTAATTTCCCTACAACCTCTTCCTCAGGAAAGTCTACACTTAAAATTTTATAATTTCTCTAAAAAGTGTAAAAGCAATTTTTAAAAGAAAAACAAGCACACTACATTGCATCAAATGTTTCATAAACTTGTTAATGTTTTCTTGTGATCATCCATCAATACAAATAGTACTAAGAATTCCTAAGCAATCCCCCTAAACCATCAAAGCAATGTGAACGACTTTTCTTCATTCTCAATGTTTCAATTTTTACACTCTTTTAATCATAAACTGAAAACAGAAATTGTGAATTTTAACATCCAAAGTTTAGGCATACCCATAATGGTAAAAAGTCAGGCTGGAAACGTAGTGCAGTAGGATAAAGCACCTCCCCAACATGCACAGAAATGAGGTTCAATCCCCAGCACCACACAAAAGATAACAAAATTAACTATTTGGGCAGGGGACGTGCTCGGTGATAGTGCTTGACTGCCGAGCATATACAAGGACCTGGCTTTGATTCCCCTGAACACACATATACCAAATGCTAATGCCAAATACACAAACATTGAATCTCAATATAAAGCATTCTTATAATTACATATACACCTAATACAGGGTGGTGAAAAGGACTCTAAGTTCTCCATCCAGACAGAACACCAAACATTTGCCCCAGCTACTTGGTGATCCAAAAAACAGGTATTAAAAAACTATCCTCTATGAATTTTCTATTTATACATTCATGGGGTATGTATTTTATCAAAAAGGAAGACAACTTTACAGACCTTAGTATATGTGCTGCTGAAACTGAGTACAAACCTGATAAACTGAATAAGAAGTTTTATTTTCTCTCCAAATACCGATAATCTTATGGATCACAAATTTTCTGAAGAAACTTCTCTGATACTACAGAGAAATGTTGGGACCAACCAGCAATACAAGGGAATAGTGGCAAGCTAAGCATTTATATTTTAGTGATTATATTTTTTGGAATACATTACTCATTTCTAGGCTTATCTATATAAACAAATTGGTTGCTTTGCACCAATTTTTAACAATCAAGATGCTCCATAATAAAGTTTATATAACAGCTAAAAATGGTATTTTTCACTAGAGGATTCCATTTTTAAAGTGTAACACAAATGTAAATGAACAGTTACATTACATTGATATGTACTGTATTACATATATGTGTCACATTGTTGAGGTTTATTAACTAGGTGTCTCCCAAGAGCATGATGCACTCAAAGGGATTTTTGGAAGGCGGCTCAACTCTGGGGGTACAGTATTGCTCACTTGCTATTATGAGGAGGAACTTGGTCAGAAAAAATCACTGGGGCCATGAGCAAAAATGGTGTAGCTCCTTCCCAAGATCCACCTAAAATTTCTGCTTCTTTGAGGCAGGGATACTCAGGTAGTTTAGGCCATCCTGTTTATTCGTGTCAGGCTTTGCATGGGGGTGGGGGGACAGACGGACACAGAGATAGGAGGGAGAGGGAGGGGGGAGAAACAGGCAAGCAGACACACACACACACTTAAGAGATGGACAGAGGGACAGATGGATGGACTGATATATATTTCCTATACATACAGGGGATTAAAGCCAGAATCTAACATATTCTACATAAGTACTCTAACCACTGTATTTCCTGCCATAATTTTTCAAACTCACCATGCCCAGGCTAACATCCGACTTGTGCTTCTACTGCCTCAGCTTCCCAAATAACTGTAACTTTAGGCTTCCCTGGCTGACTGATGCATTTTAATCCAACACCAAAGAGGTTCAACTTATATATATGACTATTAAATCATGCATTACGGCATCTGAGGGATATTTTCCTAGGATTACACTAGTTATTTGAAAGCCAGACTATAACCATAAGCAAATCTTGTGAGAAATGAACACTTGAAGACAGAAAAATTATGTGCTGAGAGCTACATTCGTAAACTAAGAGCCCTCTTCCTAACACTGAACTCAAAAAAACCTTTTCCCATCACTCTACCGCAATGACAAAAACAAGATGTGTTGTCTTCTACAAATTAACTTGGTCAGAGTGTAAAAACTGGCACTACACAAATGACAAATAATGAACCAGAATTTTCCTTCTGAAAATAGCTTTAACTTTAATAGTAAGTTTCAAACTAAGAATATTTGGAAACAAGCCTAATAAAATGCTGAGCATATGTAACAAGTTAACTATCCTTGAAAGTTTACAGGACAGCTAAAACTTCAGCATCTGGAATTTGTCAGATAACCACTGAGTCCTGGAGACAAGTTACATTTCAAGCGCAAGCGCACACGCACACACACACACACACACATATACATATATGAAAACAAAAGGTTGAAAGCAACTATATGAGAAAATAAAGCCACAGAATTCTGAGAATAAGCCTGTTTAAGGTCAAAAAGGGTCATAATGGAATCAGATTCTTCCTTTTCTCTGGTGTTTTCAGAATTCTAAATTCCTCAGTATACCAAAGCATACACAGAAAACTTCTAAGACAAATTTTAGCGATTCATTGCACAGCACACATTAAATGAGAAAGTATACACACTTAAGACCCCTTCCCCCGCCACAGTACTAGAGACTAAATTAAGTGTTCCCACACATACAAGACAAATGCTCTACCAAACATCTCTGGTCCTTTTAAGACAGGACTTCACGAAATACCCTGGGCTGGCCAGCAACTTGAGATTCTCCTGCTTCAGCCTTAAGAATAGCTGGGATTACAGGTATGCTCTCCCAAGCCCAGCAGTCACTTAACTACCTCCTTTAAAAGGCAAGTCTCTGCCTATTCAGACATACACATTACTTCTTTCAAATATATTTATTCTCCTTTCCTAAGCAATTGTGAATGATAGGTCTGTAACAAGGAATACATGTTTCAACTCACATTGTTTCTCCAGTCTTGGCTACATGACAAAGAAACTGATCCAGGACAGGACAAACTTCCTTTTTCCCCCTTTTCTCAAAATCTAAAGAGAAGAAAAGAAACGTCATTTTTCTCAACTGTCCTTTAAAAACAAACTTTACTTCCATTCCCTCCCATTAAATTCAACTTTTAAAAACCAGCCAGCCTCTCAAATAAATATCAAATTCAACCTCCACCCCCAGGTTCAACTTCTAACATGTTCCCAAGTAAGAATCCTCCTAAAAGGAGCGCTGAACTTGTCCAAACCGTCTTTCACGCAGTTTCTCAAAGTGTGGTCGTGGAGGAACACCGGAAGTAGAATCCATAAAGGAATGCAGTTAAAATTAAAAATCTCCAGGCCAGGATTCGCACAAATTGTTTAACTCAATGAACTCCACAGATCCTCCTTTTGAGCAACAACCACCCCAAGTAGCCAAGCCAAACGATTCTGAATATCAAAGAATAATTCTCCAAACGCTGAATTTACTCCTCTACAAGTTTGAGAATCACGGTTCTCAAGCCTGTTGCTTGGAAAACGACCACCTTACAATTAGGGCGCGAGGAAGGACGACTTCAGAAGCCCTGCAAGAGGCTTCCTGAGGCTACAGGAAAGTGGCTCCATCGCCACCCCTTCACTTCTCCCAGCCCAACGGTAGGCATGCGGGGGGCCTGCGAAGGACCGGGCCCGCCGGCGGGGGAGGGGGCTGAGGCCCGCGCCCGGTCCCCGAGGGGGCACAAGGGCTCGGGGCCCCCGCCGGAGCTTCCCGCTCCCCTCCCCCAGCCCAGACGCCGGCGGCCGACACAAAGCCCGGCGCGGGGCGGGAGGGAGCTGCCCACGGGGCTCCCGCCCCCGGGGAGACGGAGGGGGATGGGCGCCGGCGAGCGCGTCCCCAGTCCGGACCCGGCCTGCCCAGCCGCCCGCCCCGCACGGAGAGCAGAGAGGGCAGCGAGAGTGAGGAGGAAGGGAGCGGGGGCGGCCACCCCCACCTTTCAGCGCCTCCTGCAGCCTCTCGACGTCCATGGCTTCCCGAAGTCCCTCGCAGCCTCAGCCTCCCCTTCGCGGGTCTCCCGGGGACCGGAGCGCCTCCCCCCACCCCCCCGACGCCCACCCCCTCCCTTGCACACACTCCGGCACGCAGGCGACTGGGGGGGGCACCGAAGGGAGCCGGGGGAAGCGAGCGACGGAGCGAGACCGAGAGAGCGAGCACCTCCCCGAGCGGCTACCACCAGCCCTCCAACATGGCGCCCGGCACGTCACAGCGCGCACGTTCCCCGCAGCCGTCCTCGCGCCCGCGGCCCGCCGCCCGCGCGCCGCCC